CTGTATCTTCCAGCCATGCTTCTAATCCCTTCCTCTCCTACTTCTTTATTTTTTCCCTAACCCCCTCTCAATTTTCTCCCCTGAGGGCAAATTTGACATAGTGAGAACTTCTTTACTGCATATGATTTTCTTGTTTGTTTTAGATTTTGTAATAGAACCACAAATCCAGTTAATACAGTTAAAGCGGCAAATTAATGGTTACCTCAGTTTGTCATTTTCTAGGATGTGTTTGATGTTATTGTTATTGCTGACTGAACTAATATAACCAAAGTGAAATAATTGTTCTAACCAGCTACTCTTCCTGGTATTCCAAAACTGAGATTGCCTAAAGTCATAGAAAATACTTTGGAAAAGTGCCACCAGGAGCTTGGCAAAATAGGCAGAAAATTTTCAACCCCAACAAATTGGAGAGGTGGGATCTTCCAACAGACTCAAAACCCAAAAAACAGCTACACCTGGAAGACATTTCTAAGAAGTAGTCATTTCCTAGGAGTTCGAAATACCAGCAATAAAGCAACTCACCATAGGCAATTTATAAGCACCCACCCCAGAATTAAACTAAAAAGAAAAAGAAAAAAGAAAATAATAAGTCACTTAAACAAGATGCAAACCCAGACATCCAGTTCACCAAAGGCAAACCCAGGGGTTAATGAGGTGGGACAATATGAAAGTCACCCACCTGGCCCCTCTGAAGTGCTAACAACAAAGCAAATGAATGAGACCCTAGAAACAATCTAATCAGAAATAATTTCTAAGATAACTACAGAGATAAGGACAGTGACAACCATGCTTAGTGACTCTACAGCAGAAACAGATTTTTTAAAGACTGAGGAGTTTAAGAAAATAATGAAAACCATCAATATCCAATATAGGAAAGAAATGGAATCCATAAAACAGATTCAAGCAGATGTCCAGGAGAATAAAAATTCCATGGAAAGTATCTGCAGCAGAATGAGTCAATATGAGGATAGAAATGCAGATATAAAGGACAGGTTTCTGGTTAATGTTCCTTAAAAGGAAGATTTCTTAAAAATAGCAAGAGACCATGAGAAAGCAATCCAGCAGCTGCTAGATAATGCAAGAAAAATAATATAAGAATTATTGGAGTCAAAGGAAAAACAGGAGATAGTACAAGTAATATGAAAAAAACTATTCACAGATGTCGCGGCAAAAATGTACTTGGCAGAAAAAAAGAATCTGACATACCGTAAGTGAGGTATATAGAATTCCAATTAGCTATGATCAAAAAAAGTCTATAGCCAGGCATACAAGTCAAGATTCCAAAAATTCAACACGAAAATAGAATATTAAAAGCTTTTAGGAAAAAGAAACAAATCACCTATAGAGCAAAGCCCATCTGAATGACAGCTGACTTCTCAACAAAATCTCTCAAGTCAAGGGGAGCTTGGAGTCATGTATTTAAACCTCTAAAGGAAAACAAACACCAACTCAGATTGATGTACTCTGTGAAACTGTCTTTCAAAATGGATGGAGAAGATACTCTCATGAAAAACAACACCTGAGGAAATTCATGAACATGAAACCAGCACTCCAAAATGTTCTGAAGGACATTCTAGAAAGATAGAACAAACACTAGAACTCTATTAACCCCAAGACAAGGAATCTATCAGGCAAAGCAAACAATTAAACAGAGGAAGAAATAAAGAGCAGAGCAAACAACAGGATAATAACATGACACAGATAAATCAATACATATCAGTTGTAATCATCAATGTTAACGATCTCAGTTCATCAATCAAAAGAAACAGAATAGCAGAATGGGTCAAGAAGCAAGATGGAAAAAAAATGAAGCAAGAGTCAACAATATTCTGCACATAAGAAACATATTTAGTTCTAAAAGAAAATCATAGACCAAAAGTCAAAGGATGGAAACCAATACTCTGTGCAATAGGAACCCAGAAAAAAAGCGTGGGTAGCTATGGTACTTCAGACAAAGTGAATTTCAATCCAAGACTGATTAAGAGAGACAA